TTGCAAAGTGAAATTGGATGTAAAGTGTGACTATATTTGAAAATTATTCAAATATTCTTATCTGAATTACCTGAGACTACACCTGAGACTATGAAACAATCAACTATGTTAAAAAATAATAATGAATCAATTAGAACATCTGTGCTTTGCTATATATAGTTTAACCAATATTAACATCGTGAGATTCCATGGCATTTGAAAAAAAATTATTAGATATGTCCACTTCTTGATTGATTTTTATAATAATACTTTAATTTAAACTTTAAAATTTACAAGTTCGCTGGTAAATAATCTGAATTTTGTTGACCTCTTGCCTTTGCGCTAATCTATTCAAAGGGATCTGACTATATGTGGTTAAATTGATACTGAAACCAAAAACACTGTAATAAACAAATATTCATTGGAAACAATAGATAGGTCTAAAATTTGAGAAAACAACAAATTTTAAAAAAATAGTTTAACAAAACAGATACTAAATACGCTATGAGAGGCTGATATTTTCACTTTTTTTAGCATTAGTGCTGATGGTTCAGTGCTTTCTTAATCGAAGTATTTGACACTTTCCAGTCTAATGCAATGACACTACAATTATTAACACCGATTCAATACGGTCGCTTACTAGATCTTACGTTATAACTTCCTTTCCCGCATCCTACTTCTGATCTGTTGATCTGTTACCCACCAATTAGTATTCTTTTATTTGCTTGTTATACCACTTGCTTGGGGTGTTCTCTTTATACATGCTCTAGGCATCACAAACTTTATTTAGTGTATTTTATTATATTCCGCCAGTCTAATATATGATCGAGCATGTAATTGTAACATTGTATTATAATTTATGTACGCCAAAAAGAAGACTATATACGTACTATAAAGTATGTAAACAATAGTTTAACAATATAGTTTATGAACAATAATTCCTGTTCTGACGGTATTCTAATTTGTTTAATCATTTTTGGGCAGATATTCTAGAAACATAAGGGAACAATGGGTTAATAATGAAATAAAGTAACCAACAGTAGTGGATTCCAATTGAAGGAACTCGAATATAATGCATGGTCAGTGGTGGCGCATGCTACAGTGAATCGCAGTTACTTATTCTATTTTTCGTCGCATTGGTAATCAGTCAAATGACTCCATGGACAGTATTCTTGTCCAAAAATCCAAACATGGTCTATGCTGTCACGAAAATCGATGATATTATTGAAATATATTCTATCTTCATCAGGGAAATAATAATAATGTGGAAATAAAGAAGACAACCTATCGATAGTAACTGCAATGAAGCTCATTTCGTTCTTAGAATTATAAAATATGTTTCAATGAATATTAAAATTTAATTCAAAACAGAATTTATTTATTTAGACTGAACTATTAAATCGAAATCGGCATTGCAAAATATTTCTTATGTAAGTTCACAAAGAAATACTTAAAAAAATATTGGAAGAAAATTCTTTTTGTTAAAAATTTCTATTTATCCTTTACGCATGGACAATAGAGTGGAGAGAGATTTTTGTGACCTACTTTGAACGAAATTCAAAAGAAAGTGCAATGAACTATAGAGGATATGTAACCTTCTACGCGTAACCTATGTATCTTACGTATCATAGTATCTTACGTAAAGTCAACTCAGAGTGCAAGCATCCGTTTGAAATTTTCATTTAAAAATAGTTGGATATGTATGAAGCCGTGGGTAGGGATAGTACATTTCATTATTCTGTGTGAAAATTTTTTCACAAAAATAAAAATACGTATAGAAAATATTCTCTCGTAGAGGAGAAAAACTTTCTCACAATTATAATGTGGCCTTGACACAGTCAACATTTAGAAGTGAATAAATATTCACAAATTCATTTTCACACTCTAACGAATGCACAAAAATAATCAAAAATCCTGTCCTCTCCGCCTCATCATCACAAGTTCCCTGTGTATACAGAAAATATAGGAATATATGCATACATATGTACCATATATACATAGATAATATTTGTTTAATGTGGACTGTGATTAAAATATTCGATAAAATGATAAAATTTTCCATTATGTTCACTCGATGCAGTTGATTTTTTAATTTATTTAGATAAATCCGGTACTTAAACTTGGTTCAATCGATTCTTATCTAATACTCGTATGCACAGTCAAACTAATCTTCTTAATTTGAACATAATGATTCAGATAAATATTTTATTAATTGAAAAATCACTTCTTCATTAGGCTATAGTTGATATCAGAGAACAATGAGTTTGGTTTTTGAAGTGAAATCAAAGTTCTTGTACGACAAAAATATGGTCTTTTATTTCTCTCTCTATTCTTTTCTTTTACAACTTAGTGATTAGGAGAACATAATGACAAATTGTTTCTGAACATTAAAATAAAAATATGGGCAGTTGCCATTCATATAACTATGACGCATTCTGATAGTCTAGCACATTCTTTTCACTTTATTATTATTACTAAATAATAGGCTATGAATGCACCCCGACCTTAAAGATCTATTGTACGCCTAAAGGCCTAACTAAAACCATTTTAGACTATTTTAGACTCGTAATTGCTGTGGGCTTCATTTTACCTATTTGATTTGAGATGAAGCTCCTGATTCCAAGGTAGTCGAGTCTTCGCAGTCTAGCCAGTCGCATAGAATATGTTCTGATTTCTTTTCACCTTAGTGTAGCATATTTAAATTTCAAAGTACTACGATGAAGCAAGATTTTTTATCACTGTCACTCCACATTAAGTTCTTCTTATGCGATATTCTCCGTTTTCTTACACTGATCCAAATATTTTTCCCATTATTCTTCTCTCAAATACCGCGAGTTCGCTTGCTTCCGATCCATTTCTTAATTAATTGTTCGGTCAAAATTTTTTCTATGAAGAAATCAGACGAATATAATCTATTAAAAGGCAATTCGAAATGTTACTTATGCAATTCACCAAGGAATCAACGACTAGTGATACTGTACATAGTCTTGCTAAAAGTCTTGCTAATATTTTTCTTTTTCGCAATGTGATATTTTTTTTTACAGTTTATTCCCCCAAATGTCCCAATAATTCAATAACATAACATTCATAATCTTCTATCAACTATCTCCTCTAACTTGTAAATGTTTAAAATTTGATGTTTTTAGGAACACCCATCAAATTTTCATCTAGTGTTTAGCAATATCGGTAGCTAAATGGTCACATTTAAACCTAACAAATCACAAACTAATACGCAGCTGATGTTGTATTTTTTTCCAAAAAACAGTGTTTATTCAATACAAATAATTATTTCTATTTCTTTATTTTGCAAATATTAAAAGTAGCGTATTGAATGGAATGTCATAAATAAGAACTCGGGAATTCCCCAATTTTAAATTTTTAGTTTATCTAAAAATCACTTATTGATATGATAACTATAATTCAAACTCATTTGCGACTGGTAATAAATTATTAGTTTCGAGACAATATATTCCATATTTCTAAAACCATTAAAATGAATAATCTGTTCACAAATTTTTATAATATTTTATAATACTAAATATGAAAATAAGAAACGATTTTTAATATATTATAGTACTTTTTTGTATTCTACCATATTTACTCCTGTAATCATGTAGTAAGATGTATATATGATCATATCAGATTTTTTATAATTATATACATAAACTTATACAATTATGTAGGATTAGATAAAATTATTTTTCGTGGTTAAATACTATCAAATTTTTATTTAATTTGTAAAATATTTTACGCAGCTCCTTAAGGCTCAAGGCTGTCAGCGGTCGACGTTTGACAACGCCGCCATCATCTAACTACGTCACTGTTACATATAACATTTCATAGTTGATCCTTTATTCATAAATTTATATATATGTAACATATATGTATATCAGCTTATTAAGGATCAAGCTTTTTATTACAAAAATTTATGGTCAATAAACAATGAAGATTCATCTTACATAGGCATATACGCTGTTTTTCGTTTAGATATAGCATAAAACGTATATGTATATTATAGGTCGCTGTATATAATTTATAATGATTATTTTTATTTAATGACTACAATAAAAGATGGAGTACAAGCATGGAATAAAGCCTATTATGGATTAAAACGACTAATAACAAGTAATAATATTTCGCAGAAAACAAAACTAAAAATGTACAAAACATTGATTCACCCAGTAATAACATATGACTGCGAGACATGGATATTAACTTAAACTGAAGCAAGCAAGATAGCAGTGTTTGAAAGGAAAATACTTAGAAAGATTTTTGGCCCCATGAAAGAAAATGGGAACGGGGCTAGAACGGCTAGCTGAAGGTGATATAATCAACAAATTTATAATAAAGCAGCGACTAAGATGGGTTGGATATGTGATAAGAATGCCGGATATGAGAGTACCACTTAAGATTTATGTGAACGAAGTAGGAACCTGCAGAAGAAGAGGGCGACCAAGAAAGAAATTGGAAAACAAAGCAAAAACAGAGAAACAGGCTTAGGTCCTACATGGACTGTATAGTCACGAATGATAATAATGATGATTTGTTATTTAATATTTTAATAAAATTAAATCAATTCAAATTGAAGCAGTTACAAGTTAAGCTATTAATTAAAAACACTTTGTTAGTTTTTTGTACTTATTTATAGATATTTTATATAGTTTTATCCTTTATAAAATTCAACACACAACATTTCAAGGCTTATTGGGCTTCCTTTTCAAGGAGGAGTATTAAAATAAGTTGTTATGAGTTTTTATTTAATTCACAAAAATAAATAAATAAAATCATAAACATTAAAAAAAGTAAACTCCATACAATCGCAAATAATAAATAAAAACATATATTTTTAAAAACAACAAACTTTTTAAGTGAAGCTCACAAATTAAAAGCAATCCACCCAATCCATAAAACAACAGAAGATGTTAGCATTTAACATCCCTGCTCTCATTGTGGTGTTGTTTGCTCGCGCTCACTTGCTCGCTCTACCCAGCTCACGTACTCACGTATAGCATTTATGTAATGTGCGATTTTCGTACGGGTTACGTTTACCCCAGAAATGAATGCGATTGCCATTTAGTCGATTTACGTCTGTCGTTTGGATTGTAAGTATTTTGAGAAAAGTGTGGAGATTAAAAGTGTAAATATTTTTATAGTTTTATGTATAAAATTTTTTTGTCTTTCAACAAACTTCTATTTACGATTTGTAATTTGCAAAACTAAACTGAAACTGAAATCGGTGAGGAAGAGGGCGAATTTGTAAAATATATGTAACATTAAAAATTTCATAAAAAATTATAACAATTACATAATGTTCAATGTGCTGCTAATATTACTGCGACAGACACACATATAAAGTTAAGAACATTTATAAAATTAAAAAAAAAAAACAATAAAAAATATTAATGGAAATTACATTTTAAAAATTAAAAATGCAAACAAAAAATGACAACATTACCTAAGCGATTTGTCGTTTTGTTGTACGTGATTGTCAGCAGTGAACACACCGTTTGCGAAGATCATCACACGTGGTGTATGTTAACTGTTACTGATGTGTGTTTCATGCAAAAAAAAAAAAAAAAAAAAAATAGGAAATTCTACGTACTACAAAGGTTACAGAAAAAAGTAATTCAATGTCGCGTCGCGATAATTTTAGTGTTAGCAATTTGTGTTTGTATACATATTAATTATGTAATATAGGCGATATTCTTCCACATGACTTTATTATTTGCACCAGGGTTAATTTGTTCATACACTCCCCCCGCACTTCAACCACGAATTTTACATGAATTTTTCATTGTCACACGCACACAGACATATACATATTCAAACACGTGTGCATATTTAAGCCAAACAGAAATTACAGTTGAAAATGTTCTCTCCTGAGCTGAGCATACGTTGAACACACGTTTGTATGTCGTACATAGCCATTGCTCACTTGCCATTATTGTTGCTAACTATATGTGTCAGCTGTTATTACTCGCTGCGTTGAGTATGTGTATATGTGTGTGTATCAGAATGAGTATGAAGCATGATGACATATTCCTGTTCTTTTCCGCTTTGGAAAATTACAAAATTCGCATGAATTTCAAAAGAAATTGCCTCAGGTAGAAAGATGCTAACTTGCGCGTGGAATAAAACTTAATAAAAATCTTCGTCTAATGTTAATTACATAATTAAGTAATTAACTAATCTAACCGTTGACTTAGAATATTTGAGTATTGAGTAATTCTAAATTAATCATTTCACGACTCGAACCATACTTACATAACGCTTCTGACGAATTCTTGCCTAGCCATATTTTACAGAAAAAAAAAAATCAGTCTTTCTTGTATCTTATCGAAAGACTTGTGTTTTAATGCAGTTAACTGAAAAATTGCATTTTGCGTAATCTCAAACTTTTACATAATCGAAAAGAAAAAAATTCGTCTTCAGTATAGCTAATAAACATTTTTTTCGTAATTCTAACTACCCAGAATGGAATATATAGAATATTTTCAAATCGTAGTAAAATTCATTCAATAAAAACGTAAAAAAAATACCTCCAATATTATTCTAATACTTAAAAAAAGTTATAATATAAAATATATAATATAATATAAAAAATACTTATAATATATAAAATATATATAATATAAAAAAAATTTTTTTTTTTATAAATATATGTATAATATAAAAAATACATATAATATAAAAAACATGTTTAATGTATAAAGAAAAATTGGCCAATAGTTAAATAATAAACTTTTTAAAAAAATTTTATTTGTTTTTAAAAGATAAAACCGATATTTTGACTATATAATATAATAAAAAACAAATAAAAAATTTTTAAAAAGTTTATTATTTAAGTATTGACCAATTAGCCTGTAAAAAACAAAATTATTAAGAAAATTTTTTTTTTAAAATAAAAATAAAAAATTTTAATCAAAAGTATTATACTGTGAAAATTTAAAATCGAGAAATTCAAATTTCAATTAAGTGAATTTTTGACTGACTATATAGCTTAATAGGTATTTCGTAAACCGCTCGATTTTCATCATAAGCTTTCATTGATTGAATTATTCGTTTATAAGTTTCAGACTGCAAAAATCAAACTCTGTCAAATTTGAACCGTGAACTCCCACAAAACATTGTTATAAGACAAGACTTTTTAATTGCATAATATATAAGATTATACTATTATTTTTATTTTTTATACTATTATTTATTTTTTTAAAAAATAGTGAATAAATATGTATTATTTACGTATATATATATTTTATAACATAATTTCACAATTTAGAAGCAGGAATAAAAATATTTAATTTTTTTTCCGGCTTACTTTACTAAACATTAAAGACATCCGCCGTCTCGTCTCGATGGAAATGGTGCTGTCATTTAAAATAATTACGTTGAATAACATTATTTAGTTCTTAATTTAATATGAGAGATTTCTAGATCAGTATATACCATTAACAATGGCTGTGTTAAATATTGTTTTTTTTTATAATCACATTTCCATTTTAAAAAAGTATTTACGCGTTTCTTTCATCTACTATGATATTGTTAAATAACACTAGGCTACACTAACTTTTTTTATTTGATTTATCAATGGTGTTAGGATGATTTCATCCCATGCCGTTAAATTTAAATTTGCAACCCGTGTCTTTTTCTTTGAGACATTCAAAATTTTGAAAAAAAAAAAGGTTTTATATTTTAAAAATTGTGCTTTTAAAGGGTTAATAAAAAAATTTATATTTTTCATTCGAAAAGTGTTTATTTTTTCATTAGTAGCAAGTTAACTAAAATACAAATTTTTTATTAACTCTTTAAAATCTCTATTTTTGAACTTTAAGTCGTTATTGCCAAAGGAACCAGATGTGTAGAAGAAAAATAGCTTGAAAATATGAGCTCAAATTAACTTAAAACCATTGAAAAATCAAAAAAGAAAAAATGGTCCTACATTTTTGTCGCACTCTGTGCGTATTTTTAATTCAAAATTATGCTTGGATTTAAAAAATCTTTAGGAAATACTTCTCAATATCTGAATTATATAGGAGTTTATTTATTTGACATTGATATATCCTCAAACTTAGAATTGATGTTTATTAGTATAACATATATAACATAAGATATAATATAATTTTGGATGCAATCTCAATTTTAGGATTTATTTTAGAACTATACAATTTTTATAAATCATTACTCAAATTCAATATATTAATTTGAAGAAACTCTGTAAGAGTTCTGGAACTTGCATATAAGCACAAATAATTACAATTACTCCCATCACATTGGCCCTATCTTTCTGTTAACCTCTGGTCATTCTCACAACCAATCTTATGCCACGTAATCGTCATGTAATTCTGCGTTTATCTCTTCTTTGGTAAAAACAGTTGACATCTGAATTAAAATAAATGTTGTTGCTGTAGTTTTTTGGAAATTCGAAAAGTCTGATTTTTTAGTCTCTCTTGGCACGGGTGAAAGGCATTAAGCCATTTGAAAAGACGAAAATATTCGGGACGTTTACCTAGCAGCTCCTGGAAGCTAAAAAAAATTATGAGTCAGTCCGACTATGATATAATAATTCGAACTGCTATAGCGTTAAATTCAAAACACATATATATATGATATATATATGATTATATATGATTCACATTTTAGTACGATGAATACTGTCATGGTAATGAATATTCTTAATATATTTAACTTAGTTTTGTATTCTGGTATATCTCCTAATTTCAGGAAAGCTAGCAAAAATCAATCCAAAATAATAGCATAAAGCTAAAACCATAACATTTCATATTCCTAAAATCCGTAAAATCTTTTAGTACTGCACAATGACCTTCTAAAAGAAGAACACTTATATTGAGTAACAACAACACTTTTTTTAACTATTACAAATATTATTTTTATTATTATATTACAATTATGGTGTAACAGCCGTAGAATTTCTGTCTTGTCAAGAAGTTAAGTTATCATGTAGTTCATTTTCAAGTATTGCAAAAAACTATATCTAAATTATGTATACTTTAATCCGATATAATTCGAAATTAATAGATTATGTGTTGAAAGATAAAATTATTAAGATAACGTTTATCAATTTGAAAAAATTAATAATAATTATTTTGAATTAAAATTAATTATTCAAATATTTTTATATTTACAGTGACTGTAGTAGTCGTTAGTTACGAAAAATGGGTGTACCAGCTGGTGATGTTGAAAAGGGCAAGAAAATCTTTGTGCAACGTTGTGCGCAATGTCACACAGTTGAAGCCGGTGGCAAGCACAAAGTAGGCCCTAATTTACATGGCTTAATCGGTCGTAAGACTGGTCAAGCAGCCGGTTTCGCATATACAGATGCTAATAAAGCAAAAGGTATTACCTGGAATGACGATACACTATTTGAATACTTGGAGAACCCAAAGAAATACATCCCAGGAACAAAAATGATCTTTGCTGGTCTTAAAAAGCCAAATGAACGTGGCGATCTTATTGCCTACCTCAAATCAGCAACTAAGTAAATTATGACAAATTAATTTATTTATTTAAATCAATTCATATATATATAAATATATACATAATAATGTCAATATAAATTATATTATAACAAGATAAAACAAAAACAACAACAACAACAATTCATTTCGTTATGTTATTTAAAAGTCACAAATTAAATTCAATTGTGTTCATTGAATCAACTTTTTGGTAGAATATTAAAATCATATAAGAAGAATAACCTAACCGCACGAGGCACAGAAGAATGGTGCTGAAATAGTAGACGGGGCCAGGCCATCTATCTGGCTATTTATTACTACTACTACTGCTATTAATTGTAAGGTTCAACGTGCTATAGTAAGCTAAGAACAAAATAGCCTCAATTTTAGTTTAACATTAAATAGTAAAATATTGTTTATAATTTAAATTAAATAAAAAACAAACTATAACGAAAATATTGAAATTTGATTTTACATTGCGAAATCATCGCAAAATGGTTCTATTATAATCAATGTTGCCATACACTATTTTATTGATATTATGAGTAATGATATTGAACCATTCAGCTACTTTGAATCAAAATTAACGTACATGCACTTAGGATATCATTAGAAACTTACTCAACTTAGATATAAAAGGTATAGGTTTACTTAAGTACGCTAGTCTATAACGGTCTAGTAAAATGTCGACAGGTCAGGGTATAGCTGGGTACTAAACAGTTATTTGTTGCGTCTGAAACTGATATTTACTAATATATGTGTGTACTGAGGATCTACATTGTGTAATGTAGAATCTTTTTCACATGCTTAATTATGTCACAACTTAGAGCTAACCTAATACTAATTGACTTATAATTCTGTCCCTTAGAGTTGATAAAAGATTTCTGTATCTGAATTTAGATTAAATTCAATACTTTGCCCTCATTACACACTAGTTTCACATCACCATCCAACGCCTGGTTACCACCTATCATTCCCAATATTCTGCACTTTATTTACTGATCTTTTACAAATACTAGTATATCTCTGTATAGTAGTATATATATAGTAGTATATAGTAGTATATCTCTACGACGACAATATAAAAAACTCATTTTTTAAATTCAAAATTCAATTGAGGTTTATGAGGATTCACTATTTTATATATTGCTCTAAATATTGTACTTTTTTTAAATATCGGTTTTAAGTATACGAGCCAAGTTCCCAAATTGGGTTCGAGTGTATATCATTTTTCTTGCAATACAACAATTTTTTTATCTTCTGAAAGTAGTAACTAGTAAATAAGTTCACGACCCAAAAATTGTTCATAAAAATTTACTTGCAGAGATTTACGTAATGAAACTTAAAAAAAAATTAATAAAAATCATACCATTGTTATAAATATACATCGCTTTTTTTTAGATAACGTGAAACATTGTATTTATACTTTTATACAAATATTACTTACCATATGTGTGAAATTCTTAGCTTATCAATTCCCAGAAGTATATCATATCATACTACCAGACAGCAAAGCATTTCTTGATTAACAAAGCATTTCTTTCTAGACTTTACTCGATTTCCTTGATAAACAGATTTGTTGGAACACGAGTCATTCCAACTTTTTTTAAAACCGCCAATCTCCACGCAAAACCACAAAAAAATATGAACAATGAAAGTGGCAATAAACGACCTCAACAAAATCTATAAAAATAATAAAAAGATCACCAGCTAAATTAATGTATTAATGCCAATCAAGAAGTAAACCTCTTTACTCCGCCTACCCACACATTAAACGCTCAAGTCAACCCATATATTGCGCATACAAAATTTAATGAACAAAACTAAAAGTGCTAGTTAGCAGCAACCAAAACTAACAAAATGTGATGTGTATTAAAGATGAATAGAAGAACCATTTCACAAACATGAACAATAGCGCTAGTGAGCATCACCAAAAATATTGCAAAAATCAACACTGAACATAACAAAAATTTTGAATAAAAATTAATGCAAAGCTAGGCAACAGCACCAAAAATAGCAACTACGTTACTGTTCAAAACAAATTTATGAACGGTAGTTTTTTTATTTTAGCATCTTCCTTAATATTTTGATAGATTTCCAAATTGTAGGGATTATTATTTAAGCAAATAAAATTAACGATGTCTGCAAGTTCTGTAGCTTCTGCAAATTAAAACAAGATATATTAAAATAATTCAACTACTTAACTGAATCAAACATCTATTTATAGTAAATTGTAGCATAAAATTAAATAAAATGCTATAGCATAGCACACTTGATGTTGATATAGGGATTTGTTGTAACACGTCATTTAAACTTCTTTGAAAAGCGACAAGTTCCAGGCAAAAGCATAAAAGAATGTGAAAAATGGAAATAACAAAAAAAAAATCCTACCACATCTACGAATACCATATAATAAAAATATCTTCAACTAAATTAATGTATTAATGTCAAGCAAGAAGTAAATTACTTTACTCAATCTACCCAAACACATCTACATATGCAATAATAAAAAATAAATAGTGCTAGTTTGCAGCAACTTAGTATATTATGTATGTTAATATTGAAACTAAAAAATTTAATACACAATTTTTAGCGTATAAACACATTGAATCGAGATAAGCATATTAACAATATATTCTTTCCAAGTATTCCAATTTTTGCCAAACTTGTAATCGCACTCACTTCTGATATAACTACCATATTTCAGTGAACTTAACTTTACAAACCAGATGGAACTCGTATGACTAGAACAGCTGAAATGCTTGCCATTGTTTAAAATCAGATTAATTTCATTAGATATGGAGTTTCGTTTGCATTAGCGAATAAATTTATATTAATAATTGTCTAACAATTACAAAGGTAGAGAGTGAGTAGCAGATAACAGACATCACATACTACGGTAACTCTAGTCGAAAATATGCATGCCGTTAAAGATATCATGGAATATTTATGACCTTACTGTTTGGTGATGGGATTCAATCTTAAAACATCGTCTTAAAGATATGTTGGAAGTCTTAAGTATCAGCGTTACTCTAAGAATACGGGACTTCCCTACTCAAAGTAGGAAAGGAATCAACTATAACCAACTATATAAATCTATAAACTTCACTGTGCACACAGCTACCATTTTAAAGGATGGTAGCTGTGTCAGGTCAATTAGAAAAGGGCTCCAAAGGTTTTGAGACAATTGTCTGCCCAATAATGGGTATTGATACATGAGGTGGAACTCCGACAAAAGTAGTCAAAGAATAAACCAGATTACTTTTGTAATCGTAGGTCACGTGATTCTTCCTTTAAAGAAGTGGGAATCCTCTATAGCGTTTTTCATTAGCGGGTATAGAATGACACCTTTCTAGCTAGAGCATTTTCCTCCACCTGCATGACATGAGCTAGCCAGTGAAACCGATAAATTTTTATGCGCTTAACAATGTCAACGTCGAGGCACAGCTCATAGAGCTCATCGTTTCATTTAATTCGATACTCATTGCAAACGCATAATGGACAACAGATCTTTCGGAAATCTCTCAAGTGCTCTTAACGCCTCCTCACTCTTGATAATTGTCTAAGCTTTTGCACCACACAGTAGGACAGGAATAATAAGATACTTTTAGAGAGTAATTTTTGTTTGTCGCTTTGTTTCTAACACACATATTTTTCACACTAACACAACCAAACACAATTTGATATTTCGACCTGCAAAAATCTTAGTTTCTCAAATTGTCTTTAATGACATCTTTAATGACTCCAAAACTGTCCGCTTCACTAGATACTTACACAAACAATAACACAGACTGAACATTTGGAAGAGAAAATCTAACATTAACATAACAAAGATTCAGCTACGAACGCCTATTTTTTCATGGATACATCTATCCAGTCTTGAAGACACGACGCAAAATGTAATTGAAGATATTTAATATATTTGTTTGAAAATGTCTTCAGAAACTGAAATTCATTTCAATCGATCGGTTTTGAGGTATGTCTCTATTTCTTCAAAGACGGATCGTTCCGTTATTTAGTCTCAAGCAAAAATTAGTTTATAAAAAATGGTCCTTAAAATGAAATCTGATTTGACTAGATATTACAATTCAATTGTAGAATCGAAATGTTTGTGGTATATTAGTTTTATTTTTAATTATTACTAAATTTTAAATAAATTTGAAATTTTAGATTTGTATTGAATAAATTTCATTAATTCATTTATTTTTAAATTTATTTATAATATAGTTTGAAGTTGTATTTTACATATTTATATATTAACGAACATTTGAAAATGATTCAACTTTTTAAAAATTAATGCTGGCATAATTATTATTGTTTTTCCTTTTATAAATAAACATATGAATAGAACTATTATTTAAAAACAAAAAATAAAATAAGACATATAGCAACAATGGTATAATAATAACATCAAACAATCAACAATATAATTTCTACTAATTGCAATAAATTGAAATAAGTTTTGTTAAAATAAGAAAAAACGGTCTTTTTGGAATGATCCAATTTAGTTAAAGTTAAAGTTAAAGACAAGATACAGAATAGAGAATACTGTGTCATTTTTGTTTTCAAAATTGATTTAATTTGAAAGATTTTATATATTTATAACTAAATGAACTTCGATTTTCAAAGTATATAGGCTTTTGTATAGCAGCAAATTTAGTGTGCACAATAGTAATGCCGTCCGGATTTAGTTGTAACTGTTCCAGATATAAGCATATTTAAGCCTTGCCGCTAATTGGCGCTGCTCCTTGTTTGGTCTGAGTTTCACTATCTTTCTCCAATTGTTTGCCAAGATATTCCCTAAAAAAATTTTTTTAAGAAAATATCAATAAAATAACTTTTGTGGAGAAATATGTATTTCTTATTCTAAAAATTTGAGATTTGATTTGCTTGATTTTGAATCATTTGCGAATGTGACGCCTAAATCGAATTAAAAAAATTAAGAATTAAAGAATTAAATTAATTGCAATCATGTGAATGGAAAGCACAATAAATAAAATAAAAATTAAAAATCTACTATAAATAATGCTCATATAATTACCAATTGTGCACCATTAGTTTTTGTACAGCCAATAGGGCTTCGTAGCGTACATTTGGTTCATCATGTCCTAAAAGTTGCATTACAATTTGTTTGCCACCCAATTGCTCTAAGACACTATAAAGAAATTTTAGGGATAAGAACCACACATACAATAATTAGAAAAAAAATACACAAATAAACTTACTGCTTTCCTCTGGGATAGTGACGCACGTACTCGCCGATATCGAAGCATGCAACAGAAAGTATGATGGGATCTCTGGATGTTTCCAAGAGATGTACCAAAATGCGTAACAATTCATAGTTCTTTTCATTGAGACGATGTGCATTTTCACGCCAGAATTTGGCTGACTTATGAACTGGTGACCATTCCAAGCGTGCACTACGCAACTCACTTGCATATTCATCGAATGAACTCAAGTCTTGAACTGAGTTTTGTAGTTTTTCAGTTAAAAATTCAACATCAGCAGTTATATCCTCATCATCGAAACGACGTTGTTCAAAAATAGATAGTTGCTTCAAAACTTTACACTGCACCATGGCAATACAATGTTCTTTCGCTACTTGTGGATCCGTAGGTTTCTCAATTAAATTACGGAATACAGCCAAAATTATGCGGGTCACCTAAGCATATAAAATTTATTATTAAATTACTATTATTTATTTATATTGAATATAATATTTTTATTATTTAAATATTAATGTATTTAAAAAAGTTCCATACCTTTTCCTTAGCGCAGTCATTAAGTATATCAGCTAGTATCGGAATGACGCTAAATTTATTCATCTTTGTAGCCAATAGAGGATTAAATGTCAGGACCCATAAACAGAAGACCAATTGATACTGTACCTATTGTTAAAATTTATAAATATGCATATTCATTATCTGTGCTATCAGGTACTTACTTGGAAGTTAACATGAGACGACAAAATACTGATCAACGTACTGATACCATCAACAGAAACGAAGGCAAAACGATACTCATCAATACGAAGCATCATTTGGAGGCAGCGGCCGACAGATTGTATATATTCATTTGTCTATAGTATAATTGCAATATATATATTAAAACTACTGATCTATTAATGTCGTATAATGAACTATAGGTTAGTAGGTATCAGTAATACATTTTTCCTAACTTTTATAAATTATATACGAAGCATTTGTAACTTATATATTGAGAATTAACAAAAGACTGTTTTAGAAAATTATTATATTATTTACAATTTAACGGAATCTATATATGTGAAATAAATTTAATTTGACAACCAAAACCATTTATGAAAAAAATTTTAAAACCAAAACCAAAAGTAATTTTATAAGCAGACACCAAATATACCAAAAAGCTTGAAAAAATTATTATATATATACAATGGTTAACACTCCAGCATCTATATGAACTGACGTAATTGACCTAGGTCATCTTATAGTTAAAAGACCCTTCATCATGATCTTGAAAGAAAGGAGTAAATTTTTAGAATTTCATTGACAGCCAAAAACGACAATACAAATTGTCTATTTCAGAGATATTTGATTGAACCAAGAGCAGACACGACCAAACATTGTTTAAAGGAGCTATTAACAATTACTTTCCTATTAATCCTACACAATTATTTGTTTTTAAATTGCAGTTTACACAAACCGTACGTATACACTGTCAAAAATTTTCAAAAATATTTAAAAATGTTTATGTTTATGATGTTTATTTTTTAATAAGGTTGACAATACTTTTACCTTTAACATACCTTTCAAATCGTCGTCTGGGGGCATAGAGTGCATCTACAAAAAGTACTAACATTGAGTTTTTATATATATTTAATTAAACATAGACATGTAAATACATAATATATTTATATAAATGTGTAAAACATTCAAGTTTTTTATTGGGCACAAAGTATAAAATAACTTTTTATATACTTAATTTGGGTTTTTTAACACTAAGTTAAATATATTTTAAACTATGTATAAATATATCAAATATATTTATAAATCCTTTTAATAACATGTACGTACAACAAAAACATCAAAAAATTTTGAAAAATTTTTGGTGCACCAAAGAGTACACATAGATCGAAAGTAATGTACGAAATTCATCTGTACGATATTAAAAAGTTAATCCGGAGGTGTCAACCTCTGGACATCTCAACCTTAATGATAATATTGAAAAAGTTATATTCAGTTATATTAAAAAATTCCAAAAATTCTAAAAATTCTAAAAATCCTCAAACCATCAACGCAGCAAGTCAAAATTTTTCTAGATCATTTTTGTGCTCACAACTCTATGGAAATTGTAGCGATCCAATTCAATGGTTATGTTTTTAACTTTAAACGACTAAATTCCAATGTCTCTTGTTAATGGTATTGAGAAATAATAAATTATTAAATCAATAACCAAGCAAACAGGTCTGGGCTTTACTCACATCTTCAGAATTTAATCGCAACCTAGTTCGGATATTAATGATTAATTTATTTTTTAATTCAGCGGGAACCCTAACAAAACTTTAAATCATTAACCAAGAAGACTTAAGTATTCAGGACGCTGTTAGGATGTACAATAAACCCAATTTCTGCTTAAGAGGAGTATAGCTTAATTCAAATCAAATGGTTCTGAAATGATAATTAAACAAAATAATATTTGGAATTTGAGAATGAGATATTTCCAACGAATGCATTTTACTTTGGAAAACTTGATTGCCTAATCACCTCACTGTCAAGTTTTGAAATTATTATTCACTACTGACTACTTTTCTACAGTTTTATCGATCATAATGACAGTAGAACAATATGGATTAAAACAATACTAGCTCTTACGGCATAATTTTTGACAATTTGTAAAACTTGATTATATTTCTGAATGTAGAAGTGTCTCAAGTTCAAAATTTAGACAAAATTAGAGTATGAGTCGTTTATTATTAAAACATTTTTAACACATTCGTCCACAACATCAAAGGCAGATTATAAGCTATATAATAATATTAATTACAATTCAGATAATTAGTAAGATTGTTAGTTATATATTTATTAATAATTAATTTAATTTATGACTTAAATTTTAAAGAAGAAATGCCTAATATCCAGTAAAAACTTCTCCAAAATTTTCACATATAACAGTTGGGAAATAATTCTATGCAACTTATAAATTCATACTGAATTTGAAAATTTCTTATATGAACTTTAAGGAGTTTACTAATCAAACGGATGTTGGCAGCTCAAACAACTTTTAATTCAGGAAACTTAATTCTAAAATCTTATTATTTTTAAAAGAAACACTACCGGAATAGAGAGTTTGCCATCTTCGCCGACTTGTTGATCTGTCATGTCGCGATAGTGTTCGTATGCTTGGGCATGACGGTGTGCGTTATGGTTCGACGAGTTATGTGGATTAAACAAGGTCCCCAGTCCGTGTGCAATACTATGCGCATGATGATGTACTATAACGGTCTGCACACGTTTCGCCCGATTAGCCATTTCTTTGACATAGGCTGAAGCCTAGGCACCAATAACCATAAAATCACTTGTGAGTACATTTGAAATATATACTTGTAAAAAAAGAATATTTACAAATATATATCTCAAATACTCAAGTGGAGTAGATGTTCTTGAAAACGTTGTTAGTCTATTATATACATTATATGTAATGAGTAATACAATATATAGGTGACATATATTTAAATCATTTAAATTCAATTATTGAAAGGCACTGACATCATTGTCAAAAATTTTGTATTAGTGTGGGAAGTTCATACAATATTCGCTTACCGAATCGTTTATTATTAGTAGAATTGAAGTAATTTTATATCTTGAATTTTAGGTTAGTATTTTGATTTTCATAACTATTTGTTACAGTGTACAAACCCAAGCAACAGATCTCAAGAAATCGGATTCCGGCGCATGCAAGAAAAGGCAGTTAAATCTTATGGAAATAACCAGTAACTTATTAGTATTTATACTTCAAAATGCAAAAGATTGTTAGGAAGACCCTTGAACTAAAATCGAAATATATATATATAATATATAATAAACACATAAACTCGGATTTAAATGAACTGCATTGTATTTATCATTGTTAAGATAGAACGAAGATGATATCTTCAGAAAATGGATGCTCTTTCATTTACTTCTTCTTATACTACTAAATGTATTAATATATCTACAGGAATATAACGTTGTGTGTGAAGGCACTGCATTCTTAATTAGCTAAATAAATATAAAAGTAGATTAAGTACTTAGAACGTTTTACATTATTATTATATCAAAATAAATTATTGTACTTTTCATAGAAAAAGATATCTAAATTGAGACTATCGACAAGTTCAATAAAATCTCTTGAATTCAAATGCCATCTCCATCAACATTTTACATTAAGCAATCACTTACTATTAAACTACCGATTTAATTGAAAGTTTACCACTTCTAAAGCATGTTAAAAGGCAATAACCTTTTGTAACTTCCGCTGACTGGAATTGCTTTTTACTTCAATAGAATGTAAGAATATTAGTAGTTACCAAAAGATGGTTTTATCAAAATATTCTTAAGTACTACATGTTACAACACAAAAACGTCTTCTAAAATATTTGAATTTGTTGTATGTTTTGTCAGAAATATTTGAATTTTGCAATCAAACTATATAGGTTATATTTAAAAAATTGCTAGGTTAGAAAATAAATACCTTTTGGATTACATCTTTTTAGAAACAAAATTTAAAGCGCTTAAATGAGGTGACGACAGAAAGAAGAGTTCATACAATGAGTACTAATTAAACCCTTATATAGACTTTCTTTGTGCTGTTCCGAGAAGACCTCATATATGACCTCATATTTTATAAATTAATGACTCTGCTTATAAGCAATATCTTACGACTGGTAAACTTTTTTTATCAGTGCTCACTGCAAGTATCAAATTAACGATCATCCAGCTTATAAGCTGGAAGCAATAAAAACTTTTTAAATATTGGCAAAATTAAAGCAAAGTAGCTAATAAAAAGTAACTCAAATTTGCATTTTAATAAAACAAAATCTTATTATGAACAAACTGAACAAATAAACCCAAACGATGAGGCATACTTATACATTCCAAACGCTAACAAGTGTTTTGCTCGCATACCGTAATGAATATAGGCAATTTCTTTATAAATATTCTATTATTACTAATGAAACTTACATATGAATTGTTGGAAAATATGTTTTTGATAAATGCATGCTTAATTGAACTTAATAAGATCATATTTAATAACATATTTAATAATAAGATCATATTTAATAACAAAGTTAAATAATAAATAAAATTAATAAATTATGAAAGTGTCAACTGATACAGGACTTGATAAATGATATTTTACAATGAATTGTTTTGATCATACTTAAATCACAAAAAAAAATAAAAAAAATAGAACTTTTGAAATTCATTTATGTAATGCAAACTTAAATGATTAATTATATAATGCAATTATGTAAAGCAAATAAAATATGTACAAACATAAAACGCTGCAAACTTTTTTACACATACCACTATCACCCATTCTATACAATCAGTACATTTTCAACTCACGTGCATAGTCAGCTGGTCCTTAAGGAATTGTAAATAGAAGTTTAGATCGGACTTTGGCATAAGTTCGTGGCCCCAGCATGCAATTTTGGCAACAATACGTGAGGTCATATTTACTATGAAACCATCTTGACGATTCAATAGGTTAAGAAAAGGTCCCCAAACACTTTCTTTGCGTTTGGCAGCATATTCATGGAAGTAATCAACACGGTTGCGATCCTCCTGCAACAAATCGTCAACCATGACAAGAATATATTGTATTGTCGAATCCTTAGACACATGTGAAAGCAAGTTAAGGAAGGTTTTAACAGTCTGTTGAGGATTTTGCTCGAAATAAACGGCTTTTCCTTTATCCAGGGAGCTAATGCATTGGTAATCCTCCTGGGAAATCATTTGCGATTGCATATAGGAAGACCAATTAACGGTCCTGCTGCGGATATCAGCAGCTTGTTGTTGCAGCACGGAAGTAGCTGCGATCATGTCTAATATTTGGCAATGAATATGTAATGTAATAAAATTAAGTAAATTTTTGATATAAAAGAAAACAATAAAAAATTATACAAAACAAAACTATTTCTAGCTTACCAATGTTTTCATCCGGAAGATTCATTAGATCGTTTACTTCAGACATTGTAAAGGATTTTTTTTGCTTTTAAGTTAATACAGAAAATAATGAAATAATACAAACTCTTTTTCACAATTCAATTCAATCCAAGAAAACTGCAAAACAGAAAAAACTTGCTCTGTACTGCGACGAAATAAAATTCAGCTGACAGGTCTTGTGACTTTATTGATTTGCTTTGCTTTACTTCGCCGCAAACAAAGTAACGAATACTCGCGCTGAAAACAATACAAAAAATTCAGAAAAATTTTATATCTGCAAAAATAATTTATTTATTATTTTTATATAAAAACAATAATATATTCAACAAAATTTCCTTTAATTAATATTATCTACTATCTTTTATGGTCTTGCTGAAGAATAAAAACATTAATTGCCTAATTGTTAAATTCGCTGTCAATAAATTTAGTCTTTCAGAACGCAGCGAAATAAACAAGACGAAAAATTGTCATAAAAAATCAAAACACATAAGTTTGTGCATTTAGCGGCTTCACTTAAAACCAAAAAACTTTTGTTATTTCTTCAATTAATTGAATATATAATGCAAGGATATATAGATTATAATGAACTTTTAAACAAGACAAAAATGATCAACAAAGTGTCAATGGAAAAGATTGCAAAATTCGAAAAACACATGCAATTATTTCCACCACTGGCTGATAAAACAATTCGTGGCATCTTCAATGGTTTATCCGTTGAGATTTCTGGTAAAACTGGAAGAACTATACTGCAACAAAATGGCAAGTTTGGTTATAGCAAGTCTTTACGAACTAGTCGACGTAAAGTCAAAAAATACTTAATATTGGAAATTGAGGAAGCATTTTACCTTGCACACGTCTTAAAAGCTCTAGAAATTTACGATACAAAAGAACAGTTGTTAACTTTTTCAAATTTTTTATCTATTTGCTTAAAGGTGGATGAAAATTTTATTGAAAATTTTGCTGCTTATTTATATTTGAAATCAAAAGGTTGGATTGTGAAATCTGATGTCAACTATGGAGGCAAATATGGTAAGTTCAAATTAATGTGAACTAACTATTTTCTTGCATATTAATCATTATTATATAGCTATTTACAGAACAGGGCCAGAATATTTTCATGCAAGTTTCATAGTTCTAGTGACAAAATTCGATTCATCTTCAATAGCAATCTTAAAGGCCAACTACAGAGTGCAACGTATTGCAGATATAAATAACAAGGATGTCTTACATTTGGAAGTCAGCAAAACAACTAATTCTGAAATAAAATCTATAGAAGATTTTCAAGGCCTACAAATTTCAGAAGTAGTGCGTCGTAAATTTAACTTTTTAAAAGTTCTTAGCATAATCAATTCTAATAATAATAAAAGGTGATCACCGCAATTATTTAAATATACAGATTTTAATGATAATAAATTTTTATAAAAATCGAAATCATTTTGATGTTTATCAAAAACAGCAAAAAAAAAAAAATATTGCAAGAATCAGTCATTTTTTGTTATTAAAAGATTTTAATAAACTGTTAAAGAATTTTTTTATAAAAACCTAATTTTTTTTTTGAAATTACATTTTTATTTATTTTAAATTAAAGTTATTTACTATGAAAACTTCGCCAGTCAAATCGATAAGGAGTTACTACTTTATGAGGTTTCTTCAGAGCGGCGGATTTTATAACTGTTCGAAACCGCGTGAAACAAGAATAAAAAACTCCATTAACAGGCATTATTTTTAAAAAATAACTGTATTTAATTTAATAATAAAGATCATAACAACTGATTAGTTTTGTTTGCCCATAACTTCCAATTCAAGGAAAGTACTAATGCAACAATATATTAACAGCAGGCATATCAAGAAGCCACTACCTTTAAATGATTAACAATAAAAGCGGACAATATTTTAACAATATAGCATAAAACTACGATTTTTTTTATTATTTTATATAAGTTTAGATTTGGAAATTAAGTAAAAACGTTAAGCCCTTTCAAGTTTATTATAAATAAACTACAATATTAGTTATTCAAATTTGTATATGTTATTTTCAAAGTTTACCATTCCTTATAACCCTTTTTTTATCCATTCGTGAAATCTTACTTCAAAGTTTTCATATAGATTAATAAAATTGTACAGAAATATTTATAAAAATACGACAACCAAGTGTATATGTATATATATGTATATATATATATATATATATTAAGAATAGCTTAACTATAACTTTTGAATGAAAATATGTTACAAGTTTTAGGACAGACAGACAAAATTGAGAACCATAGTTATTATGCGTGTTATTTAAGATTTAATTTTTAAAGCCTAACCACAATTCTAAGCAATATTGAAACAAGTCTAAAAAAATCAGATATAGTCCTATTAGTTATTACTACTACAGATCGACTTTTTCATTACTGTTAAGACTATCAAGTAAAAATAAAACTAATGCCATCGGAGAAAAATAACAGTAGAATTAATATCAAAAAATCGTGAACGAAAGGTGTAAAAATAATCCCAGACAGGTGTTCAAGATAATTTCAGGATTAATAATCTCTTAGACCTAGGGATAGAGATCTATTATGTCTATTATACTGATGCATAAAGTACTAATTAAATATTAAATGAAATTTTCAGACAATATTTCCTTTAAAAAATGAATGGAGAAGAAAAACCTTTGAGACAAGTAACGATATTGCAATCTACACGGATGGCTTGAAAATTAACTGCAGGGTAGGAGCAGGGACCATCGCGCCATCTGAAAACATAAACAATTCTCTTAAACTACCTCATGAGAGCACGGTTTTTAAGGCTGAAATTTAAGCAATTTGAAAAACTTGTCTACAAATTTCAAGTCACATCAAGGACAGATGCAGTGATGATATTTTCATTTACAGCCCGGCAGCAATCAAAGCTTTTGAATCTTTCACAACAAAATTAAAAATAGTGAAAAAATGTAGAGAGGCAATCGACGAGCTGAACCGGTTGGCTAACATCGCCCTTATCTGGGTTCCTATACATAGAAACATCGAAGGGAACAGGAAAGATGAAAGTTTATCCCACTCTGCTGCTTCCTTAGATGTGTCCTGACAGTACTGTTTTATATTACCCTAGAGACCATTAAAAGAGTAATTAACTCCACTTTCTTTAGCTTGCCAGATGAAAGGCATTTAGGTCATATGCAACTTCCAAGTTAACATAGCCCATCTATAATAAAACGAAATCCTGGAAACTCATCAAAAGAGACCGTGTCAACACTGCAAGGCTTACTGCAGTTTTTTTTGATCATTGGTGTATAAGAAACCTGTTGCGGAAACCTGTTGGGAAGAGAAACCATTTGACACTTTTTATGTGAATGTCCAGCTTTAGCGTCCTAGATTTCTAGGAAGATAGTTATTTGACAGTTTATCAAACTGTTCATCGGTAAAGACGAAAGACCTATTAAATTATCTAAGTTTGACGGAATGAATTTAGGGTATACTTTTTTATATAAGGAGTTCTTGCGAGAAATGTGGTGGCAAAAGGTTGAAAAATCGCTAATTGAGGTACATGGAAGTTATCTGATGGCTTGCTACTGTAACCAACCAACCACCACTAGTTAAATCTTTGGTACAGAGAAGAGCTGTACTCCATTTTCAATTATTTGTATTACGTTTTATAAGTTGATTTGAAGTATAAATGAAAACTATTATTGTACATATTATAATAAATTAATTTAAAAAAACAAAATTTCTAAAATAGAGACAAATATTATTTGTATTTGTTTCCCAGTTTATAATGGTATTGCGCACAGTGGAGACATAGAACTATACCAATTAAAGGCATTGGTCAATATCCGTAGTAAAGGCATTGATCAAAATAGCAGTAACAATTAATATTATGTTTTTCTATTTATTCTGTAAGTTCAACTAAATTTTGCATTTTTATAAATTATGGAATATAGAAATATAATATATTGAAGTATACCACAAATACAAAAAAGAAATAATTTTAATTTTCAAGTATTTAATAACGAACAATAACGACTAGCAGTTTGTCTGTCTGTCCTGCTGGTACAGTATCGCAAAAAATTAGTTTTTCTTTCTTAACAATCAAGGCTTATATTATTAGTTTTGTTTGGTTTTAAGCGAAATTTTCTGATTACTGGCTTTTTGCTAATTTTTTATTACTAAACATATTTGGTAAACATATTCGATTTGCTATTTTAGGTGCTTATTTATCATAACACATTTAGTCATCTTGTTATTCTACCCATGTTCCTTGATTTATAGACCTTGATAGACTATAACAAAAAGTTATTTAGAAGCCGAAAAAACTTGTGATTCCACATGATACTGACTGCACTCCTAATCAGAATTATAGCACGTTTAACTTTTTTATCGATTTTAAATATTGTAATAAAATTGGTAAAGAAGTTCTGCAAACAAATGTGATATCGTTCAGATGATATTAATCGAATGTCAACATTCTTTCTATGCTACGCGCTAAACAAGAACAGTAGTGTTTGAGGATTTCATGTTGTGGTAACCCAAGCTATATCTCAACATAGACTTTTTTCTTCATTGTCACAGGTTTTGCGTTTTTTATTACACGACTAGCTGAATATTCTCGATTTTTATAACTTATTTAAATTTAAGAATATTAGAAGTATTGTTGATAACAATTTTTGAATAACTCTAAGAAATATGTATAAATTTTCATCAAACTCGCTTCTTTATAATTACTGAATTACATAACTTTTCATATGGTTTTTTCTTCAAATATATATTAAAATCTAACGACAGCAATTATATATTGTAAGTGATTCCTTGCAAGAGTTAATCTTTTTACACATATATTATCTTACACTCGATCACTACGAATAACGCAATTGTCGTAAATATAAAACTTTATTTACTTTAAAGTCTCAAGTATGTACAAGTTAACAATACGATAACAAGTAAGGATTGCTTATTCCAATGCAATAGCTACTGACGAACAGAACTGAAAAATAAAATATTACTGAAATCAACAAACATACAAATTAAAACAAAAATATTCGAACTTACTGCATTCATATAAAAATCATTCATAATTGATTATAAGAGCAATGCTTTAAAAGTGATCAACTCAATAAAATATTACATCCGAGCCACACGATGTTTCTTTGGTATGCCAGTGCGTCGATATTCGGAACGCTCTTGTAGATATATTTCCCTACACTCCGCTTTGAATGCTTCGTTCTGATACCAGTTGGTGAGACAGGCTTTTAGTTCGCTATTTTGTTTCCGACACGTAAACACCATAGCCAAACTGTTGTCCTTGCAACAGTTTTCGAACTCCTTTACTTCCTTACTGCAATATAGATCTCTTGCCCGGTCACGCATAATTTTTGGTATTAGAACTTCAATTTCAACTTTACGCAAATTTCTGTCATCTGGGTCACCTAATACCATCATTTTTACACAAAATTCTAATTAATTCAATGACAATACACAATGATATTTTATAATACCTAAGCCGTGTGGATTTCTTGGATTAAATGTGTTTTGCTCTTCTGTCTGTACAAATGCCATAATTATTTAAATTATTAGAGTTTCTCAGAAGAAACTTTTAAAAATATTTCTCAGAAGACAAACAGCTGTTTTCTTTTGAAAAAAATTATTAGAGTTGCCAACACAAGAGTTTTGAAACTTATTTACGAACTACTAAAAATTGATTGCTTACTTATGGCATATTAAGATTTATATCAAACCTGATGTTTTTTAACATATTTGCTATCATGAATATTTTTATAGCACAGCATATATTATTAGCATATCAATACAACAGTTATTAAATCCTTCAGTTTTATATAAAGTTATTACCATTGCCGTGATATTGCTCATTACAGGAAAACAACTTAAAAACTAATTAAAATAAATTTTAAATATTTGCAAAGATTTGTAATAAGCAAGAATCCTGATATTTTAATTCCGTTTAAACATTTCAAACACATGAATCAGTTATTTGCTTAGGAAGATCTATTGTGCTCTCTGACTGAGTCATAGATACTAGAAAAAGTACTGTGTAATGAAACAAACACACAGAGCTGACTCATCCTAGTGTTTGTGCAAACTTAAGAGGAGATATTTTGATGATAAAAATAGTTTAAAAATATTATAAGCAATTAAGAAATATTGATCATAATGTAATGTATTTACAAAAAATTATTTTTTAAACATTTTAAACGATATGCATATGGAAAAGGAATTATTGTCATATAAATTATCATTATATTAGTGTGTTTTTTTAAAGAATATTTCATTTTTAATTATAAGAATGAAGTTTTTATCTAATGCTTATTAAAAGTTATTCTTTAATAGTTTTTATACAAAACTTTTTATTTGATAATTTTAATATATACATAATTAGCAACTTATACCTAAATACCTCTGATATTTATAATTTTTATTATTCTACAAATATAAAATATTCAATGCAAAGACTTTCTACGAAAATTTTTTTCTATATCGAGGTTTTTTGTTATTACTATTATTATTATTTTATTATTACTTATTAGTAGTAATTTATTTTAGGTATTACTTTATTAGTATACTAATACTGCTATTACTACATGTAACTTCAAAAATTAATAATTTTAATATTAAAATTATATTATATAAAATTTACTAGAAATACAGGAACTTTGATAATTATAAGACTTAGTGCTTAGCCTTTGTTTTTATTTTTTTCTTATAATACGCCGAATTATATACTTTCTACATTTAGTATTAAGTACAGCAACAACTTATTATTTGCGTTACCAACATATGCGTTTTTTTTTTTAAGCTCCTCCTATTTAAATTTAGTTTTAACGGTCAAATATTCTTATTTGTTCTAGGATTCGTAGTTGGGATAGAGATGCTTAATGATTAATATGTGTTGCGGTTAACCAACAGGGTTATTGCTCTCCGTTGAGTTTCATATTGTACTTTTATTATATGAAAATATAAAATATAATTCTTCTTTTTAGTATTAAACTTATCAAGAATTTATTATTCACCTAACAAATATATAATATTAAATGAAACTTAAGTATAGTTATTAGTGAATTTAATAATATTGGTTACTGGAGATGATTTAGAATTTTTGGGGCTTCTTTTCGTACCAATCTGACTGAGCTGTTATCCTATAAAGTAAACAACGTGGCCAAGTTTATAGTCTAGTCAGATTGGTTCACTGTCACTAGTCTGCACTTGTCTAGTTTAGTCTGAGAATGAAAAACACTAATCCGTGGTATCACAATGGGCCCGTATTTTAACTCAAGAGTGCTTTGAGCACACTCGACTCCAACTAAATAATTGTTATACCTATGCTATATAAATGCCATGAATGCCTTTCACAAGTGTAAATGTTTTAATATACAATTTATTAAAGTAGTCAATAAAAATTGTCATACAAATATTAAAAAAAATTTTCTACAATGTCAAAATTTTGTGGTATATTTTTTTCGGGGACTTTACGTTCATTTTTCTTGTGAAATGAATGCAAGTAATAGGATTTATGTCAAAAAACAAGAGCTTATATTATAAATATTTTTTTTAGTTAAATTTCAATGTAAAATAAAGATACAAGGATTTAAGTTCTCTTTATAATTAGAGCATTTCCGCAATCTGAATTAATTACTTTAATTATAAGGTTGTAAAGTTTCTACATATATTTCTATAAAGTTTACGTATTACAGATGCGTTTAATGTTTAAAAGCTTATTTTAAAGTTTATTATTATTATTTGTTATATATTTGTCTCCAATATTTTGCGGTGTATTTGATTTTTTAAATACCTTCAATTCTTAATTTACATTGAAATCAACAAAAAATATAGTGAATGACGTTTTATTTGATCGCCCGCGTCACAGGGAACTGTTGCAAGGGTGACACGTATATAGGAAATAATTATATATCAGATACCTTATTTAAATACTTGATAAGCTACGTCACTATTGAATGAGAATATGTCTACTTTGGTATATGCACTGGGTAATCATTATCAAATATCAACCTAATAACTTCTGCGTGCAAGTCGCTTTCGATCAAACTATACATTTTATGAGAAAAATAAGTTTATATAATATACAAAAATTTTATGTGTCACTTTAACTTTGAGAATGGGAGTATTTAACCCATTTACTATAAATAAAAAAAAACTTAACTTAAAAGTTACAATCAATTTAAATTATTTTTGAGGTAACCTTAAATTTCCCCGTTGCTTATGGTGGTCGGATCCATGCACATCTTTAAAAATGTAACAGAATATTTAAATGTTAACTGCAGATCAATAACAGCGGTAACTTACGCTTAAACAGTTTTACAGCATGTACTTAACCTTAAGCCATGGAGAATAAAAATTAATAATTTTATTTTATAATAATTTTATATTATATTAAAAAACAAAACAATTTATAAACAAAGCTCATAATTAAAAATTTGTAGACTTATTCTCAGATGTCGAAAGGCATTTCCCCTCTCAGACTATCATTTTGTTTGTATCAAATGGTGTCTAGTTACTTGAGCAGATTAGACAACACCAACGCTTTTAATTACAACTAAAATATTTGAAACAGAATATCACTTAAAATACTTGCAATTCAAAAATCTGAATGATAGCACATAACGTTTTCCAAGAACAAGATGACTCCGCATGAGTGGTGGATATCTGTTGTTGTTACGTTTAATGTAAATACGTGTTTCTGTAGTCTGTGTACAAATTTTCGCAGCTACTAATGCTGCTTCGATATGACGCAACTAATGACTCACCCTATTATTAGTTAAATATTACGGACTCTACTAATAAAAAATACACGAGTAATCACTATAAAACTAATTTCTCCCGACGTCATTCATGAGCAAATAGTTGGAATTTACGTTAAATACCAACAACTGTGAGTAAAAGTGCTGATCTATCCAACATTCATTCATAGTAAAGACTATCTAAAGAGAGTCGTAATTTCATATCAGTAGGAATTATTATTTCTCTTACAAAAGATAATATCGTGAAAATATTTTCAACACAACATGTGCTTACTCTGCAAAATGAGCTTAATGCACCCTACGTTCAGCCAGACGAATTCTGAACTTTAATATTGTATCTTCGATTTTGTTTAATGGTTAGTGCACAAATACTAGTGTACAATATTTTATTTTACAATCCATTGGGGTGTAATAAAATAAATATTGCATATGAAAATTTCAATAAAATGTAATATAATATAAGAATAAATGTATTACATTTTATTTAAGTTCATAAGTAAAAAATAAATAAAATATTTGACCATATCACTTTAATATAATATGAGAATAACACTGCAAACAGTCCACAAAGTATTTGTTAAAGAAATTTGTTTTAATATATACTTAATAAGCGTTTTTTATGAATATTTTCAGTATAAAATATCTGACCTTAATTCAGGTTAGATTCAATTTTATTTTATAAATTATAAATATAATAATTAAATTATAAGAAAAAGTTAATTGTATATTTTATATACATTTATAAGACTTCAAACCTGAATTGAATCGGAAAAATCAATATTTTTGCCAGAGCGAAAACTAGAATTGTGCAGAAAAAAAATTCGGAATTTATAGTATAAAAGTGAGTTTATTTCTTTAATACAATATCACTAAATTTTAATACACTTATTCCAACAATCCTCCTATTAATGAATTCCATCACTGTAGTAGTTTTCCAGACCGTTTGCAAAATAGTACCTACTAAGGAATACTACACGCTTTCGGTGAAACGTGTTCAATACCTGTACGATCAATATTAAACAAATCACTGCCTTATACATTTTCATTTCAGTATGAATTTTTATTACTTTCAAATCTTTTTTCTAATGAATTTATACGCGATAATTCATTTTTGTTAAAATTTAACTTTTTAATTCAAATTTTTAAATTAGCAAAAAATAAAATAATATGTCAATATCAAATGACTGATTAATGCAGAATAAACTGGCAGGTTTAAAAAAATTTATGCAGTGTTTTTAAAAACAATTAAATATTCAAATAGTTTTTAAGTTATAGTTTTACTTTTAACTTGAACTTTTTATACATTACGTACTTAAATAAAAAATAATAATTTATAGACATATGTCTTAACAAATTCTTGAATAAAAGTTAAATAAAATAGAAATATGTAGTGTCCTGAATATAACAATATACTAGTTTTCTTAAATACTACTGCAAATCCTAAATCATTTTTCTTCTTGTATTTTGTAATAAAGAGTTTTTAATGAGAAAAAGAAAATATATTTATATATTAAATATATTATTATGTACCATGAATAAAAAAATAATACAAAATATTAATAAATTTGTTTGTGAATAATAATTAAAATTATAAATAAATTAAAATAATTAAGTGGGTGTGTACAATATTAATTGGTAAGGCTGGTAATAGGCTGGTAAGATTATAACGCTTAAGAAGTGTCGTCGTTGACCGGACAAAATTTTTATGAATGGCGAGCGATACTATTTCTCTTAACACTGGTGCTGTGTAGTACTGGGGAAATTTTTCGCTCTCTTCCAATGAGGTATCTTCTGTGCTTTGATTTTTAATTTTGCGATTGGATTTGCAATTCATTCATTAAAAAAGCGCGGTCGTCGGTGCAAATACTTGGCAGCGAATTTGAATTACAAAACTCGGAATAATCTTATTATCAAGTCTATCCGATTAGATATTAATGCAAAGTAAAACAATAAAAAAATATTTAATAATTAATTTGTAAATAATTACAAAAATTTAAACGTACGAAAATCAAAACAGAAAACAAATTTCAAACTAAAAAATTCAAAACCAACGGATTTTGCGCCGAACGTGAGGTGTCCTTTGAAGTGCAAAAAAATATTTCAAATTTATTCGAAAATTAATAAAAGTAATTGTTACCACAAAACAAAAACAAAAACAAAAAAAAAATACATAAATATAAACAAAAAGGTATTTCCCAAAAGGCCAAAAGAAAAGTGTCAATGTGTCAAAGTGTCGAGGTGTTATCTTATCTTGAGGTGGTTCCCATTTTTCAAAACTCACATTTGAAACTTTAACGGAAAATATCAAAACGTGCTAATTGTGGTCAGCAGTTTTGAAACGGATACGGATATTCCTAAATCCTATATATGTGTTGTGTTTAGTGAGCGGCTACGTCACAATGATATGATCGGTGCGTGATTTTAAAAGTGAATCATCCAATTTTGTTATTAAAAGCGGATTTGTAGATTGGTATTTCATAAGAAATTCCTGAGAATTGTGAATCACATATATATTATTGTATGTACATATATGCTATATACGAGTATGTACATTGAACTTTATGTGCATAGCATACATTTTTGAAAATATTAAAAATTCCTTTTCATAGCGCTATTCACGAAATATGACTAATAAAAGTGTAAATAGAATAGCAAAAATACAATTCGAAATAATTTCAGTAAAAAAAATTCCCACAAAAGCATCCAACTTCAAAGTGTGCAATGACAAAATACACATATACTTCAGATCCTTTCAGCGATAATACGATAAATACGAGATATAGTAGTCATAGTAATAGTGAAAGATAGTGAGAGTGTCGACCTTTACAAATGCAAGAAAATGTTGAACAAAAGAAAAAGCTGGATAAAAGCAAACAGAAAATGCAAGGCAACAAGGAGAAAACGAAAAAAACGAAAACCGTCGGTAAATATAATAAGGAAGCTCCACCTACGACAGAAGAACAATCTTGCAGAAATAGAATAAGTTCCAGTAGCAGTAACAGTGCGAAATCTTCTAATAGTGATACTTCTACTGCAGATAGTGATATATCGAACAGTGAACATTCAGTACCGAAGAGCGTTGATTTAAAGTCGGGAGAAAATGCTGAGGGAAACGAACCACATTTATACTTGCCACAAACGTCAAATATTAGGTTAACAGAAGCCACAGAGTCCACAACAACCACAACAAACACAAGAACAACAACAATAGCAACAACAACAACAGTTACAACATTAACTACAACAACAGTCGCTAGTGATAACTATGATTTAGATAATAGCAGCCATTCGAATAGTGAAAGTTCAAGTTATTTGGACGGAAATTCAACCTTAGAAGTAGAAGTGCCCATAGATCCGCATGTTTGGAGCTCCAATCACATAAACAGTTGGGTTAAATGGTTAACAAAACAATTTAAAATTGAGCCCGAACCAGATATAACACGCTTTCCAACCACCGGTGAGGAATTATGCACATTAAGCCGCGCTGATTTTTGGGTCTGCGCAGGATCAAGCTATGGAGGCGCTATATTCGCAAAACACTTCGCTCTCAGTTTATATCATGCAACAGGCAGAGAAACTAGTCCAATGTTAACCGATAACGAGCCAAGTAAGTGTAGAATATAAAATAAAATACATACATCAAATAATTTTATAAAACGTTCGGTATTGAAACTTTTTTGAAGAGCATGCAACAGGTAGCAAAATTCAACTAAACAAACACGTGTTGACTAACTTTTAGTGAAAAGTGATACATATATAGTACCTTTCTCCAGTGTGAAATTTAAGCTGTAATTAAAAATATTTATATAAAGCGTTTGTATTCGATATTTTACAAATTTACTTAATAAATGCACACATTTGAAAGATTTTGAAATAAGAAATCCTGAGGCAAGTCGCCTCTCTGCTCTCCTGGATATGAATTTACCAGATAGATAGCTAAGTAGTTAGAAAGAAATCATTCTCAAATATCTTAAAAACGATTTTATTCCTACTCTACCGGTAAAATTTGGAATCAATGCATTCAAATTGGGTGTTAGGTAAATCTCTTAACCTAAAATAATGTTGAAAGCAAAGTAAAAAATTTAAAGCAATTTAAATGCGTCAATATGGATCGAGATAACTTGTAATACACAAGCTTCAGATGTTCAAATCTAACCTAATTGTTCCGGTTTTCCGAGAACATGGTGTATAAGACATGGCGTACAAGACGGGAGAAGGCACACACGCAGCAAAGGCGCCTGGAGAGCTGTTATAGTCAAATAAATTATCTACAATTCGGATTAAAAAAACGACAGATTTGCGGTAGAGTAGATCTAGGTTATATAACTAGTTAAAAGAATTTAGAGAGGTGACTTGTTTTGGGAATCCAAATTTGTGCATTTTTCAATTAAATTTGCAAATACATATTTTTCAATTTCAAATAATTAATAATACATACATAAAATAATGATATGTTTATGTTTAAATAATTTTTCTCTACATAGTGCTTGTTATAATCTATATGTATACATATGTCGAAACGGTATAATAAAATAATTTTCACTTAGAATATAACAGTTTTTATTCCCGAAAGTTCGTATCTGTAATAGGTATATTATTCTAATATTTATTGATTTATTTGGTATATTAATAGTATTATTCTTTAATACAACTTTACAAAATTTAATAGTTGCTAAGTGTAATTTGAAAGATCTTTTAAAGAATAAGATCAATAAATTAAAATTAAATAAATTTATTTTTTATTACATTATATATGTATATATATATATATATAAATTATTTCCATTATCATAGGAAGTGACCTCGAAAAACGCCTTAATCAAAGTCAACGAATTTATTTTCGATATCAATTTAAATTGAATATAAGTTAAAGGTAGAACTTGAAGGTAAAAAACTTAAATCTTGTACTATAATTAAAAATATATTGTAAAATGAAGACATAAATATAAATATTACAAATAAATATTTCAGTACATATTGGCCGTAGTAAAAAATATTTCCTAACCACTCTAAATATGCCGACGGAATGTTTAAACTTTATAGAATAATTAAAGTTTAATATTGGCCTTATACAAATAAATCCATATTCAAGACCGGACCCGAGTCAATCAAATATAATAATTTTCATTGTACTAGATTTTTGCTAGTTGGGTTGAGAATGTCATATTCGCCTGTAACATAGATTATGGGATTAATTTCAATTTAAAGAAGTATTGAAATTTATAAGCGGATTTCAATAGACGTTCGATGTTGAAGTTAGGAACAGAAATTATATTTTAAATTAATTAAAAAAAACTTCCAGTCACTACTTATAGTTCTTTATTATAATGCCAAGCATTTTCATCGTGAGGATTTGACTTCTTCCAGAACTAAGATGTTTGTTTTTTTTTTTTGGAAATCATCCAATAGTTCAATAGTTACAGTATCCATTGTTATGGTGAAAAAAAAAAATTTCTCACTAACCAAAGAAATTGAAAACGAGAAGAGCAATTCTGGGGAAAAAGTTTATTTTTAATATTTGTGTCACTCTCAGAATATTAAAGACAATATCTAATTCTGAGGAAAACATCACAAAGGAAAAATATAGCTACCGGTAAATACTTAAAAAAACAAAATAAATTATATTTAATAAAGTAATAGTAATAATAATAGTAATATTTAAATTTTTTTATTTTTGAGGAGGTGGTATGCTATATGCACCATTAGATCGGAGTAGTGCACCCAACTTATTAACATTAATTTGTAGTATATGGACTAAAACTGCTTTTTTTCGAAGACACTTATTCCCCCTCGGAACCGTTTTCGCATTTCTTCGAAGAGGCGCATTTTTATGTTGGCTTTTTAAGCTATGCTTTTGTGATTTTTGATCTGCGTCCAGGCCTCCAATTTTTCACCGCATTTCTAGATGTGTGTACATAAATTATACCTACAAAACTACGTACGATAAGACATAAATAAAAAATTCCTATAGTTATAATTTTTGATTAAATTCTATTCAACTCTTTAATACAGACTTATAAATCTTTCTTTGCTATCTGGAATCTGAAGGTATGGGGAAGTCGATCACAAAATTTTCTAGATATATTTTTGGGATTTCCTTGTTGTGCAAAAATAAGTCTTTCCTTGCTATGTGGAATCTGGATGTGTGAGGAAGTCGATCACATTATTTTCTAGATATATTTTAAGTATTTTCTTGTTGTCTACAAAATGGATGTCTGCGACATTCTATTATAGAGCTTTTCAGAAAAATTTGATATGTAAAACATAATTGTCTAAGGAGTTATAACAATCAGCTATTTAGGTGTAGTTGTAATCTAATTTTGTTATGTAGTATTTACTTATCTGAGATATAATAATATTGACTGCGGACTCCGTAAATTTGAATTATCCTACTAAGGATTTTCGTGATATTATAGATCAAATTTGTATCTTTTCTTATAGAAACAAATATCAAGGATTTGTTTAAAAGACATTTAACTAGGAAATTATGAGAGCCGTCTAGCTCATATATTTGACAATAGTTATTACTAACTCTTATGTAGTTCTTATGTGGAATATAATAAAAATTGTGCTTTTCTTCCAGGTTTAATGATGCATATCAAATTTGATTTGTATTTGATTTGATTTGATATTTTTGGCTGAATGTCGTAAGCTGCTCGTAAATGGCTACTTTCATTAACTGTACTTTCTTTACAATTGATCGGAAATAGTTTCTTTAAGTCTAGACTGTGGTCTTATACTTGTATGTGTATGCAGTGAATCGTCCTTTAAACGGACGCCACGGGTCCAGCCATTTTATCCATTTAAAATATATATCAATTTAAAAGAGCGTATATTGTATGCGTAATACAAACTAGGGACTAACAACATTGCATGGTTAAGACAGATGTCCTTTTAGTAGTGTCTGTTCAGCAAAGGTTTCAGTGTATAATTTTTTTCTTATATATTTTTAAATTGTCATTTGTTATCCTTGCAATATAAATAACCAAATCAATAAATTTAAATTATAACTTAATATTGTAAAAATATATTTTAGTAATCGATTCCCACTCTTTTAGAGAGTACTATTTATTCTCAGACACCTTTACGTATAAAATTTACGACCGTTGTTCCAATTTATATATTCCCAGAGCACATTTATTCAATCATCGAATCAACCAATTTGATTCCAAACTTTTAATCTAGCAAATCTTCCATCACATCGCCATTGTTTAACCTTTTTTGCGAAAATCCTTTTATTGTCCTTTTTCATTTATTGAAGTTTTTTCTGTAATCCAAAGCAATATTGCGGTCAGAAATCACTGCGCACTCCTTAACCTTTGGCAATGTTTCACTTTGGGAATGAACAACAGAACTCTCATTAAGATTCCAGTGTGTGGATAAGTTGAAAAGTTATGGCCAATGTCCATTGTTTCCATTTTCATTTTCTTTCTCTCTTTATTTATATTTTCATTTTTATTTTCACTCTTACTTTGATTTTTATTTTATTTATTATTTGTTGAAATGAAGTCATTAACTGATAACGCTCCGTGATGTGAAAAGTAATGGCCGTCTAAGGAATGGGCACATACGAGTACTTGCGGTGATAAGAAGAAGAATTCCATTTAAAGGATTGAATACATCAAACATCTTCCGAAAAATACTTTACTGCTTATCCTTAATTGGCGTTCATTTTTAACCTCTGTTATCAGAACATCGGATGTGCTGTGAATTATTTTCGCTGCTCGTTTAAGGAAAGGTGTTTCGTTAAATTTTTTTTGCAAAAGTCGACTTCATTTTATTCCTGTGCTATGTTGTGTCTGAGTTGTTTAATCGAGTAGTGGGTGGAGAGTTCAGCATTAGTACATGTACTTTACCTGAAGGATTTTTTCAATTCCTAAATTTTCCTTTCCATTTAAAACGAAATGAACCGTGGATCTGGAGAAATTTTATTCTTCCGAATAATTTGCCAGAGTTGAAATATATGCGTTAAGACTTTAAGTTTAATAAGAGTGGCAGCATATCCATATATATACATATCACACATATATATATCAATTAAAAAATATGAAATTCCGTTTAATCGGATGTTACGGTTTAACAGCTTATTTTATATTCTAAGCAACTGTTTCTTGGACTACTTACTTGTTGTTGGTGTTTTATGCAAAAGTTTTCACCTTAAATGATTGATATCTCAAGAACTCAGCTTCATCGACGTATAGCGCACCGAAAAAAGTTATTGAGAACATTCGCGGCACTATACTGGAATATTTAAAAAGTGATGAATAAATATGCTGTACGATACTATATCCCAAACTAAAATGCACATTCTGCGCTCGATAACTGGCTTCAGTCGTCGGGACCGAATACGCAATGACGACATTAGGCAAATCTGCGAGGTACCGGACATAATTAAATGGACTAGACGGAGGCGGAAAGAATCTGCATGTTCAAGGAATGAAAGATAATCGCCTGGGCAAGATTGCATTGGTAGAGAAACCAGCAGTTATCATCGTTTACCAGCGTTTTCAATTGGTAAATCTGGGTTCAATCTAGAATAACTATCGATTTATCAAATTTTGTTGCCTAGTCGAACATTTTTAAAGTAATCTAACGTTTTTGTAGTAG